AGGACGAATTCATGAAAAAATTCGCAGAAACTACAGGCGAATTGCGTGATACACTACGGAAATTGGACCACGAAAGCAAAAGCAAGAGCGTAGAGCTTCCATCTGAAACAACTCCCATTGCAGTTAGTTGTTATTTATCACAACAATGTTTGACTAAGGAAGTTGCAGATAACAATTTTTCTAGGAAGATGAAGACTCGAAGAATCTCTTAAATACTGTTGCGCAAAAGTTGGATGAAGCCAAGGATAACGTTATGGAGAAGGTGCATTGTGTTTTCTTTCAACTCATTTGAAACAGGCTACATTTAAACAAAATAGCATACCATAAATGAAAACTAAGTGCTTTTAGGTTATGGAAGCTAAAGACTACGTGAACCAGAAGTTGGAAGATATTACAGGAGGGTAGAACATTGGATTTACTTATATGAATGTATTTATCTGTAAAGTGGTTCTTGCAATGAAATTTCACTAGCCAATGTTTTCATTATAGTACAATATGATCGTCTCAGTTCACTGAACTAAAGCATGATAAGTGAGTTGAATGAAATGACATTCTGAAGGATACTATCCCTTCATAATTTGACCTAACATGAGTGGAAGGAGTAAAAAAGTAGTTCTATGCCAAGGTGAATGGATTGTGAATGATAATCACTTGAATGTCAGTACAAGCTGTACTATTGTGCGAGAAAATTTGAAACTCATCCTAAATTGTTTTGATGTAAAGTAGAAATGAAAACCTGTGACTTTTTACACATATCTTCCAAGATTAGACATTAACCTCGAGGCTGCCGGTCCTTGGGTAGTTCTTCCAAGTAAATTGGGTCTGACTAGTCAGTTAAGCAACCTGTCTTATTACTAACAGTTATTGAGTTACAGAATAAAAGACGTTGGAGGAGGTTTTGATTTGTTCATATAAAAAACACCCATTCCTACACATACGTCATTGTCGCGACCTTCAATAAATTCCTTTCGTAGGCAAACATAATTCGACAATCTCATAAACCTTCACTGTTTTGAGAAAAATGCAAGTCTATGAACAACAGAATAAAGAAACATCTTTCTTTAAAGTGGGAGATCATATCATAAACAGATGGGAGCTTTTTTTTCAAATGCAAGTTTGAAAATTGCTAACATGCTATATGCTACATTGTGGCACATTACTGTAGGATTACGGCAGATACATGCTACAATGGCTAAAATCAGGGATTTGCCTGGAACGTGTTGGTGGAGTTAGGAGTATGACATGCTGATTACAAAAATCTTTTACGTCGCACAGTAAGCCCTCACTTATTTTTATGGTAGTTGTGGTAAGATCGAAATAACTGATCTAATGGAAAATAAACAAATTATTTCTTATTTCTTTTAACAATTGCATAACTTTATTTCTATAGTGCGAAGTGGTTTTAGCTTGGGAATGAATATGGATATTTCCATGATGAATTTCAATTACAGTTCGGGATTATTTCTTGAGAATCTTGCTGAAGCTGGTCATTTTACCAGAACCGTGATCGCTACGTTGTATCAAAATAGTTAGGATATCGGGGACGGACCACTTTCATGAATTCAGGAGATGAGATTTTTCTAAAAAAGATGTGGCGAAAATTACTAGACAGCCTTTTGTAACAATGATGCAGTTGAAAACTCACAGGATCTGGATGTAAGATCCTGAAAATAAAATCTCGTCATTATATAGAATATACCCTAAAAGAAAAATTATAAGTCATTCCTACATGGCTCTAACCACCACATAAAAATTTGTATGTAATTCTTGCAAACGTTATCAAAGGAACCCATACTTAAGATATGT